AATTGATTTTAGAGCCATCATAGATATTTCTCATGTCTAAAGTATTTTTAGATGAGGTTGCGAAGTGAGGCTTTACTTCTTTTTTATAAGGCCTAGATCTTATAGAAACTGCATCCTTTATTTAAAGACACTCTTCCAAAAAAATGGTATGAAACCCCTCTTTATTCACTTGATACATTTCGTAATTCAGCGGGGTTGATAAGTCCCTACCCGTTTTTCAAACCGTTAGCGGTTTTGGAAAGCATTAGGTGCGTGAAAATGGAAGTCTAGATCGTAACTGGGGCACATGAGGTACTATCACCATGACTCCGCCCCATTCTCAAAAGTGGTAAGTCAGTGGGGATTTGGGCTCCTAACCTTTGGTGAGAATGGAGTTAGAGACTTCACCAGAGGGATCGGCAATACTACTGCCAAGGCCTCAAGCCATTCTCCACATTCCCTCTTTAGATCCATGATGTTACAAACTTGCGATTTAAAATAATTTATAGATTTGGCGAATTAAGGTAAACAACAATTCAAAGCCAAAATTTAAAATAATTGGTCTCAAACATCAAAATCTTTTGTTCTTTCTTCCTAAATCATATTTGTGGTGGACATAAAAAGTTTAGGTCGAAAATCTATTGCAGGGTTTTTTGAAGGGGAAGAGGTCTATTCCGTTTATTTTTGGAGTGCAGTTTGTACAAGGCATCTAGCTTGAATACTCAAAAGTAATATGTACATTCGAAACCTACCAAAAGATGCACTTCTATATTGAAATCCCTTTGTGATTGCCTGAAAATATATTTTCAATATTAGTTATGAAATTTAGAGCCCCATAAATAGCGCATATCATATATATATATATATATATATAAATATAGATATCAAATTTGAAAATGGATGATCAGGATAATATATTACAAAATACATTATTTTTAAAACTTGAAACCTTTATTTTTCCTTCACCATACATCTTTAGGTCAAGTTAAACAAATGGAGGGTTTTCCAACTAGGAACAATCGTTTTGAAGAGGTTACAAGGTGTGCCTTCTAGTATAAAGTTGAGACCTTATATAAGATTTTTCCTCAATTTTCAATTAGTTCCATTTAATTGCCCTTCTTTGGGTATTGGGGTGTCTAAGAGAAATTTCCAAAAACAAAAAAATTATATAAAGTTGTAACCTTTCGAAAAACAAAAAAGTTATATAAAGTTGCAACCTTACTTGTGAAAGTAAGTAAGATTTTAACAATCTACATCATCCGTTTTATTTTAACAGTATAGATTTGACATTAATTTAAAAGGTGGGGTTTGTATAGAGCCTAGGCTCTAAACAATCACATTAGAGCCTACATTCAACTAGTGTCGAGAAATATAGTTTCAATACTAGAAATCTTTGTGATAGCCTTAGAATATATTTTCACCATAATTTATAAAGTTTAAAGCTTAAAAAATGGTGTAGATTGACAGAGCAATGAAAACTTGAAAATCTTGAAAATTGGCGGTCAAAAAATGCGTTACAAAATATACTATTTCTAAAACTTGAAATCTATTTTTTTTCTCACGTCCATGTATCTTGATGTCGAGATGATCAATTTGAGGATATTTGGACATCAAAACAACATCTTCTAGTGAAATTTTTGTGATAGGCTCCAATTTGATTGTTTAAAGCCTCGGCTCTATATAAACTTTCCCCTAATTTAAAAGGTGTGCCACTTTTTGATACTGTCTTGAAAGATGTGTCATATCTATCACATCAAGCTAAAAGTTTAAAATAGATGGTATAGAACAATGATTTAAAACTCGACAAGAGTCGGCACGGGAATCGATGTCCTCGCGTCGATTTATATGTAAAGCCGAGAATCGCCTGGTTCTAGAGTAGAATTACCCATTCACTGTTGAGCCGCGTCATATCTATCACATCAAGCTAAGAGCTTAAAATAGATGGTATAGAACAATGATTTAAAACTCGACGAGAGTCGGCACGGGAACCGATGACCCGTGCCGATTTATGTGTAAAGCGGAGAATAACCCGGTTCTAGAGTAGAATAGCCCATTCACTGTTGAACCGCCTGCATGGCGTCATAAACCGGTGAGAACCGAACTGCCTGCCCGTTCACTATTGAACCGCCACCCGTCATAAACCGACGAGAACTGAGCTGTCCGCCCGTTCACTATTGAGTAGAATCGCCCATTCACTGTTGAACCGCCCACATGCGTTCACTGTTGAGTAGAATCGCCCGTTCACTGTTGAACCGCCCTCATGCGTCATAAACCGGCCGTTCACTGTTGAACCACCTACATGATGTCATAAACCGGCAAGAACCGAATGCCTGCCCGTTCACTGTTGAACCGCCCGCCGGCCCGTTCACTGTTGAACCACCTGCATGATGTCATAAACCAGCGAGAACCGAACCGCCTGCCCGTTCACTGTTGAACCGCCCGCATGATGTGTTGAACCACCCTCATGACATCATAAACCGGTGAGAACCGAACCGCCCGCCCGTTCACTGAGAACCGAATCTCACAAGATCGACTGTGGCTGACGTCATCATGGGCAATCTCGTGTGCCCCGCATGTGTTTTCCACCTCAAGTTATTCTTCAAGAGTGTTGATGTTGCAATTGTTTATATAAGTATTATTCGTCCCACCTCTCTTCGATGTGGGACAATTCTCATTGCCCAACGTTGAGATCTTAGATCAATATATTGATTTATTATAGCATTATATGGCGCTGTGGGGAATTGGTTATCATGTTGGATATTATATAGGAGGTATTTGTTCGAACCTCCGTGGTGCTAATGTTTTTCCTTTTTATCAAATGTCATAAAAAATAGTTTTTCTTTTGTCAAATAATGTCACGAAAAAAATGTGTTTTACTTTTGTCTTAAATAATGTCATAAAAAATATTAAAAAGGAAAAAAAATAATGCCATAAAATAAAAACAAAGAGGAAGAAAATAATGTCATAAAAAAAAAGAAAAAAAAAGTGTTTTATTTTTATCTTCCCAAAAAAATAAAAGGCAAAAAATAATATCATCAAAAAAATACAAGGAAAAAAAACAATATAAAGGAAGAAAATAATATAAAGGAAGAAAATAAAGTCATGAAAAAAAATAAAGAGGAAGAAAATAATGTCATAAAAAAAGGAAAAAAATGCTTTTATTTTTATCTTCCAAAAAAATAAAGGGAAAAAATAATATCATCAAAAAAATAAAAAGAAAAAATTAAAATAAAAGATAACACAACAAGCATTTCTTGTCAAAAAATAATTTATCTTCTAAAAAAAATAAAAGGAAGAAAATAACGTCATCAAAAAAATAAAATAAAAGATAGTACAATAATTCGATATTTTAATGGCATTTTTTAATCAATTTAATCTATTCTTTATTGTAGTTCATGTATGATTATATATTTTATCAATGATGATTCAATGATTTTTCTTTTATGTAATACAAATTTAATGGTTAACATAAGTTCAAACAGGGAAAGAACATCTCAATATTCGCAAATTGATGAAAAAAATGAAATAATAATGAAATACCCCTATTTCTTATTGGATTCCTAAAAAACAATATTTATAATGAATTTTAACAAATTTTTTAGATTTTTTTTAATGCTTGATTGGACTGATTCGGCCTATTCGGATTGCCGATTCACTAATTCGGATGAATTTTTGGGAAGATTGATTTAGGGCACCAATTGGTTTTTTAAACCATTGGTATAGAACATCACAATATTACTTTAAATAGGGTTATAACCACATACAAATAACGGAAATTTACATTAATATCACTCGTTTTGGAATTAAGAATATTATACTTCATGTGTTATAGTTTATTGTAATTTACGCTCATGTCCCTTTAGTGTTTTCTTTACCCAAATGCCATCAGTTCAGAATTTTGAAATTTGAACCGAGGCTATTAACAAAGGGTGTGGTTCGTATAGAGCCTAGGCTCTAAACAATCAAATTAGAGCCTCTCTTCAAATAGTATCGAGAAATGTGGTTTTCATAGTTATTTATAAAATTTAAAGCTTAAAAAATATTATAGATCGACAGATCTATGACAACTTGAAAATCTTGAAAATTGATGGTAAAAAAATGTGTTACAAAATACACTATTTCCAAAACTTGAAATCCATTTTTTTCTCATGACCATTTATCTTGATGTCGAGATGATCGATTTGAAGATATTTGAGCATCAAAACAACCTCTTCTAGTGAAATTTTTGGGGTAGGCTCAAATTTGATTGTTTAGAGCCTCGGCTCTATATAAATTTTTCCTAGGAACAAAACGGTTCAACAATTGCAATTCCAACTAGTTTTTTTGTGACCCATTTAGATTTTGAAAATCTGAACCGGTTTATTTGACTGTTGGGTACAGAACTTCCCTTAAACAAATTCTTGAAATTTTGGATCCAAAACTCAAATAATCCAATTTAGATTTTGAAACTTGGTTAGTTCACAAAAAGATAGTTTGGAATTTCAATTCCCGAACTAATTTATTAATAATTTTTTTCAAAATTTGAAAGTCCCGGGCAACGGGGTTTTGGGAAAGAATAAAAAAAAAAAATACAAACATAAACTTAAATTACATAATTGATTTTTAATTCTGATAAAAATAAAGGATATTGACCATTATTAGAATAAATTTCCCTTAAAGACTAGGGTCATGGACAAAATGCTTATTTAAAAAAAGTCTATGTAAGGGTGAAGTTTTAAACAAGCAAATTAAAGCGGATTTAAAAATATACTAGAAGAGGTTGTTTCTATACCCAAAAATCTCCAAATTAAACATCTTATCCTGTATGGACATGAGAAAAAATAGATTTTAAGTATTAAAAATGATACATTTTGTAATATATTTTCATGACCGTCAATTTTCTAAGTGTTTATAAATCCGGCTTTAAACAACATCTTTCAATACTATTTAAGTGTGCGCCTTACTTTGATTGTTTGGGGCCTCAGCCTTATACGAATCTCACCCTTCTGCTTTCTGTGTTTTATTTCTTTGCGCAAAATTTGGAGCCAAAACATTTGCCACGCAGAGCGAGTGTATGTGTTTCGCCTTTGGCTTCCCCCAAATGCAGAGATCTTCTGCATCGACCGGGGAGGGGTTTCGAGCTTTCTCCCTCTGAAATTTAAATGACCTCAACTCCCTCCTCTCTCTCTACCCTCTATTTGCCTCCTCTTTACCCAGTCTCTCTCTCTAATTCCCCTGTTGCCTTTCTTTCTCTGTATCCGTTGTTGCGTCCTCTGCTCTCTCTCTAACTCACTTCTGATTCTCCCTATCAAATTCATCTGAGATTTTGAGTTTTCTCGCCGTTCTCTCTCATCATGGCATCTGGTCAGGACTCGGGCACAACTCTCATGGATCTGATAACATCTGATCCCTCATCTCTCTCTCAGTCATCAAACACAGGAGGGGGAGGACCACCCCCTTCTTCGACGTTAGGAAAGCCTGCTCAATCTACTGACCGAAAGACGAAGAGAACATCGCTGTCTCAGATCCAGAGTGACACCATGTCCGCTGCTAAGGCTGCCCTTTCACCTGTTAGGGCCAATATCATGCCTCAGAAGCAGAAGAAAAAGGTTAGAAATTCACTAAAATCAACCCTAATTCTTGCCCTCAATTGGTCATATGTATTGACAACTGATGCATGATGTTTTAAGAGGAATCACCATTTGTTCGTTTGATCCCGATCATTGTTTGTCAGGTCTCTGTCTCTTATTTTTGCAGTTTAAGAGGAATTACCATTTATTCATTGGATCATGACCTCTCTTAGGGCTTCTCTACCTTTCCTAGTTCTATAGTTTAAAATTATTTAGCGTGTGTTTGTCTATCCTGATTGCGTTCTGGGCTCTTCTCTCTCTCTCTCTCTACGGTTTCCGGTACTATACTTTGCATATGAATGGATTTGATCATGCGTTTCATTTCATTTATCTGTGTTTGATATGTAGGAACATGGAATGAATTTACCTTTTCAATACTCAGTTCTATTTTAGGATTTGAACCTTAAAATTTCAGGGCCGTGAATTTGTGAATTGCATGAAATTCGACCTGAGGTTTGTCCCTTACGTTATTTCATCTTCATTCTTGCATGAGTTGCTGCTAAGTGAGGACTGTTGGTGTAAAATGCACATTCTTGTTTACGGGTTAATGCCTTAACCAGAGTTTGCTTCATAATTAATCTTGTTAACGCATTGCAATCAAAATCAGGATACGTCAGTGTGATATGGAAAATTTTTTCATAGGATGTCATGCTTTCAGTGTTGTAGTTTTTCAGTCCTACGAGTTCTTCTTGCATCTGCTTCTTTTGGTCATCAATGATAAATTCTATGAAAGAATTGTGAAGGAATTTTATTGATTGAGTTACTCCATAATTCAGATAAAGCAGATACATGAATATGAAGCCTAAGCGGTTTTCATTGACAAGGGAAACACTGTAGCATAAAGTAAAAATTGAACTCAAAATAACTAAGCCTATTTCTCTAAAAAATAAGCTAAGCGCATCTTGTTTGCATGAATTTTTACCTAACTAGATTCTAATGAACAACATGATTTGACCTAAATGCACTTGATGGATTTTGTTTCTCCCATGCTACATGCGCCAGATAAGGAAGTATGCTGATTTAATAGAACCTATCAGGGAGCCCTAGGAAGGGGTTATCATCCATTTGATTATCTGGTTGGTGTGAAGTATGTCACAGCCCTTTATGATGAGCAATGGATATTCACTAATCAGCTCCTAATCCAACAGACAGTATCCTCAACTGATATGCACCTTATGAATGCCTTTCTCTATGCCACATCACATTTTGCACAGCATTCTTAAATTGATTTCCTTTGTTCTTTGTAGCCTGTTTCATATTCACAACTCGCAAGGAGTATCCACGAGTTTGCTGCAACATCTGATCAGGTACCATTTATTTTCCTTCAGTTGTTATCTTATGTTCCTTTTCTTTCCATAGGACTTTTCATGAATTTTAAGAAGGAATTCCATGCAGAAAAGTTCGCAGAAGCAGTTAGTGCATCATGTATTTCCCAAACTCGCTGTGTACAATTCAGTTGACCCTTCTTTGGCTCCATCTCTTCTCATGGTGAGTATGTCAATGAACATATATGGCTTGAGCCTTTTCCTTTTTGATCATATGGGTTATGCACTTTTATCGTGCCGCATTTCAACGAGTGCCACAATGGTCCCCACATAAATATGTTCTTTCTAGACTAGTATTCTTAAACTTGGACGAAACAATGTTGTATTGTATGCAATTTCTCCTGTTCACGGCTTTAGTTGTGCAGTCCCATGGTATTAGAGCATTTATATTTTAGCGCCCTTCCATTCTGGCAGCTCCATCAACAATGTGAGGACAGGAATATCTTGCGTTATGTGTACTACTATTTGGCTAGAATCTTATCTGATACTGGGGCTCAAGGTTTAAGCCCAGGTGGTGGGATCCCCACTCCCAACTGGGATGCACTTGCTGACATTGATGCTGTTGGAGGGGTGACAAGAGCTGATGTTGTGCCTCGAATAGTTGAACAACTCACTGCTGAGGCTATGAATGCTGATGTTGAAGGTACGTTAACTTTTTAGTTGTAATTTAATTTCTTCCTTTGAAACATGCTTACTGCTTGAAACATTCATTATTCCTGCTTTTGGGGTTTTTTACTTGAATTAGTGGGTCTCTAGATTGAGTCAATGTGACTGATAAAGGCGGGAGGCCAACTGACCGTTTTAAGTAAGATTTGTCCAGATATTTGAAATTTAACAAGATTGAGGTCTATGAAGCATCTTTATCTTTGGTTGTTTAGAAGCTACCAAACTCATAGAAGTGTATGATTAAGCTGTGTTGTTCCAGGCAGAGTGGTCAGGGTGGAGGGTGTGACAATTTGCCGTTTAGAGTTGTGACCTCACCGGGTTCCAATTTAACGTTAAAAAAAAAAAGAAAAAAATCTAGTAAGGAGTTGATCGGTATTTTACTTTTTGGATGATTGCCATTTAGTTGGCCAATAGTGTTTTTGTTATAAAGAAAGAAGCTCACAAGATTTTTCATTAGATTTTAAATCCAATAAATATGCTGTTACAAAATTGAATACACCATATGCCTCAATTGGATATCTAGTGGCGTGAAAAAGGGTTTTGTCTGATTGGCTGGCTTGGAAAACCATGAAGTCCACTTATTATGTAGCTATTGTTTACCATATGTCTTTTATGTCTTTAATGCATTGGTCTTTCTGCAGTTCACGCACGCAGGCTTGCAGCTTTGAAGGCACTTACCTTTGCTTCAACAAGCAATTCAGAGGTCTTAGCTAAGCTATACGAAATTGTGTTTGGCATTCTCGATAAGGTTCGTCTCTCTAGTTGGTTCTGTTCTATTTTTCTATGTTTTCTTTTAATTGTTGATAATGTAGTTTAAATGACAGACAATTAGAAAACTGTTCAATGTAGGAGACACCAGCAAATTAAATGCCAAAGTAAATTCCAGTTTATGTCCATAAATGTCTTCTTCTTCTTCTTTCTTCTTCTTTTCCTCTCTTGTTCTTGTTCTTCTTTTCCTCTTTTTCTGCCCATCCCTTTCCTCCCCTGTCTCTTCTTCTCCTTTTTGTATAGCAACACTTTTTTGAGAGCGCAATTTTCTGGACAATGTTTTCTAGTCTCTAAGCCTTATTTTTTGGTGGCCCACAGCTTCCTCCCGCAGCTCTCTCCCCGTCCCCCTAGCGCTTTCTCTCTTTTCTCCCCTGCCTTGCTCTTGATTTAGCGGCTCTTTCCAAAAGTCGGGATGCCTTTCATTTGATTTATGAAGTTGAGATTTTCTTTTGATTGATTGTATAGCACAACACAACACCGAAAGACTTCTTTTTTAGATTGAGAAGGATAAAGAAAGAATTTTTAGTCACAGAAGACTGAAGAATTCATGACTAATTGGAACGTTGACAGTGAAGTTCATGTCATCAACACTTGGGCTGATATAATCAACCGTGCTAACCTTGGTATGGAAGTTATGCATGGACGTAATGCTCACAATTTTCCTCTAGACATAGCTGCTCTTGAAGCTCCATCTACAAATAGATAAACACCCTCTCCCCTTATGTGCTTTCTTTCCTTTTCTACTTCTTTCATTTTTTGTTGTTTTCTTGTGGAGGAGCACCCAGTCTGTGGGCTTCCATAACGCCTCACTTCACTTGAGCATTTTTGTGACAATACTATTATAATAATATAATGTCCCCTTTTCTCAAGAAAAAATCTTTTAGAAACATAGAAGTTAGGCATGAAGCACACTTCTTTATTTCTACTGATGTAATTGATTAAACATAGGTGTTTTGTTGTAGTGTTACGATGTATGTAAAATAAATAGGGTGTCTACGGGTGCCCTAGGACTTTATTCCCCATAATCAAAATATAAAATCCCATTAATTGGCTGAACTTTGGTGTTTCAACATGTATTTGTTTTCCTTACTTTGCATTAAAGTAAATGTCCACATTTTGAGCAAACAAACTTTCTCCGAACTAGAGGGTTTCCTACGATCCATATAGAATATTGACTTGCTTGCAGTAATGAGTGGCCCTTCAAACTGCACATTAGGGGCATTTTCTGCCTAAGTGAAATCTTCTATACTCCAGTGTTCTCACGTGCTTCTTAAATATCTTACTATTTTGCTCCCATCCTCTTTTTTTTTTCCGGATAATTGTTAATCACATTTCTAAAATTTGGTGGTACCTGGTTCACTTTTGTGAGCACATCAATGTTCACATTCAGAAGTCCCTACGGTGTTTTGGTTGGGCGTTGATCTGTGCTGCTATTGGTCTAATTTTCAGATAGAAATTGTGATTGACCAACATCTAATGATTCTAAAGTTTGCTGCTTGAACATAGTCTACCTCATTCATTGCCTAGAAACATGACATTTTATTGGTGATTTCTATCTATATCTATCTTAAATGATCCTTCTTTAGACAATGTTCTTACTATTTCCTTGTTTCTTCCTTTTGTAGTTTCTTACGGAAGGAAACAAGTGCCCAGTATTTTGGCTTTTTTGCAGATGCTTTTTTCATTGTTTAGTAATGTTGACAGCTCAGCTAATATTAAAAAAAAAATTATGTTGACAGCTATGATAAAACTGACTACTGCTGAAAGGCTTTTACATCTTATCTTTGGTTGACATTGATATCTAGAGATGAAAAACTTCGCATTTATATGTTTTCAATTTTGTAACTTTTTGTTTTCAGGTTGCTGATACAGGTAAACAGAAACGTAAGAAAGGCATGTTTGGAAGACCAGGAGCAGATAAAGAGGTACTGCACTAGACCATGTTTCCTTTCTTCTATGGAATGCAAAGCATTCTTATTAAGTTAGTTTATTTGGAAGCATCCCTGTTGTTTACATGTATCGAAAGTAAAGCCCTGAGTATCTCATATTGATGATTCTTTGTAATCTCATTTAATGAGCTTGCAAGTAGGGATCTCCCATTTTTAAGAAGAGTGTAAGAGGAGAAAATTGATCCTGGATGGTTTTAGTAGTTTTTAAATTGGCTGTGTAACTAAATCTAGTATCTTTCAACTGAGTTTAAGATAGGGATGCAAAAAAGGCCTGCACTATCAGAATTTAGTCTTCACAATGCTTTAAGTCGGAACTACCTGGGCTCCTTCTTATGAGAGTGGAGGGTGGGCATTCATTATAGCTTCTGGCATTTAAGGTTTGGTGAAATCTAGGCTTCTTGTAGGGGTTTTAGGCAATTTTTTTCCGTTGCTTTGGTTAGTTCATCATTTAGCAAACTAGTTGGATAGTTTGGGATGCTTGGGGCGGCTAGATTTGAATATTTTATTTAGGTCAATCTGACTGAGGTTTCATGAAATTGGTATGTCTAAGTTCTGAGGATTATTCAATATGTGTCTATGACATGATGTAGTCTCTAGTTCTTTGCAACATCGAACAATGGATTCGTGTTTTTCCATGCAGTCTTTTTACCATCCAACTCAAATGTTTTAATGTTAAGTCTATTCACATGGTTTGCATTGTTACTGGCTCACGATTTTAGATTTCTCTTTGATACGTTCCTATCATTATGGGTCAGATTCATTGATGCCATATTTATCTGCAAGTGCTATTTACTGATACTAATTCTATGAGTAGAATGGTCCTTAAAACAATTGTAGTGTTCATTCTATCTTTATTTTTGTTTCTCATAAATAACTTGGTGTCATTCTTAGATCTTTAATTTTGTTTCTCATAAATAACTTGGTTCCTAGTCACTGTCTGGAGTAGTCAGCAGATAAATTATTCAGCAAGAATTTTCTGAGTTATACGGACTCAAAGAACTAGGGTTGATGGTTTAAATGTTGAATTTTTTTTTAAGAAGTATGAATAGTCGTGATAATGTCTTGTTGGCTTAATGTCTGAGTAAGCATGATAATGTCTTCTGTTGTGAGCTTCCATCATGGCTCTGATTTGGTGTGTATCTGGTTGGAGAAGAAATAGGAGAATCGTTGGGGGTTGTGAAGAAAAGCTTGATACGATTTAGGACTCAGATCATCTAAGGACTTCAGAGGTTGCTCAACTAGATTTCATCCTAAACTGGGAAGCCATCACTAGCTCTTCCTTGAGGCCGGCCCTAGATCCTCCCACTGGGAGGCTCAGGTGCCTGGCACCATCAATTCCACTTTGATGGGTGCTCCTTGTGTAATCTGGGCAGGGCCAGGATTGGTGGTGTTTTTAGAAAGTCTTCAGCTTTGATGGTTCTCTAATTTTGGGCCCTATCGGTGTTGCCACATCAAATTCAATTGAAGATGTGGCTCTTCTTGAGGGATTCAAACTCTTTGATTGAAGATGGGGCCTCCCTGTTGATATGAGATTCAAGAACATTATAATCTGCGCTAAGAGGTCTCCTCCCTGCCTCTGTCACCTAGAACCAGTCTTTGAACATAGCATTCATTTGTGTACCACACTAGAATCTTCTTTCACCACTTGGCAAGAAGCTAATGACTCATCAGGCTACCTTATCAAAAGGGGGACTCACAATCAAGATTTTGTTGTGCCTTCCCTTCAATCTTAGAGGACCCTTCCTATATCCTCTCTGTATCCCCCCTCCACAATTTTGTTTATGAAGGCCCTGGTTTCTCTGAGATGTAACGACCACATTAGTTTGGTCAATTTTTGTAACGGCATATGCCTAGTGTAATTTGTATATCTTTATAGATTAATACCTTCTTTCAACTAATACATTAAAAAAAATGTCTTTCTTGGTTTAATGTTCTCTGATCTGCATAAGATACCCTTCAATCTTCATTGTTTTTGAAGATCAAACTGGGTATTTAAAATTTGATCATTACTGATCACTCTTCCAGTGGAGATGATGGATTGGCTAGATCAGTGATGATATGTTTGACATTTTTGCAGTCTATCATTCGGAATAATTTACAGTATGCAGCTCTTAGTGCATTGAAGAGACTCCCATTGGATCCTGGGAATCCGGCATTCCTTCATCGAGCCATTCAGGGGTATGAAGATTTTAATTCTATATTGTTTGCAGGCAGGAGTGTATATGGTCCATCTTGCCATTAGAATGAAATCTCTCCTCATTATTTTTTGTTAAATAAAATCTCATTAAGTTACAGCCAGGTTAGAAGGTCAATAGGTATGTACTCCACTTCGAGTAGGGATATTCGATGCTATCAGGGGTTGGTGGCTCTACCGTGGAGATACTTGCGTGAATCTTGTTGTATCTCAGATCCCATCATTTTTAACTAGCTTTCTTTTAACTTTTACTGTTTGAATTGATGAGAACTTGGCGAGGCTGACTCGTCTCAGACGAGTCGGCCTTGCCGGGTTACTTGGAACTGGCACCCTGCCAGTTCTGCAAGACCCAAACTTGAATGATCTGAGTGTTCCTGAGTCTTCAGAATCCAGCCAATATTCTTCAAAAAATGCATCTTTCTAAAAGCAGGACTCGCTGAGTTGACTTGGACCCGGCCCTGCCCATTTTGGTACTCAGTTCTGGGATTTGAGACACTGGATTGATTTGGTGATTATAACTGTCATTCTGGAATTCATCTTTTCTGCAGGCTTTCATTTGCCGATCCTGTTGCTGTAAGGCATGCCTTGGGGATTATATCTGATCTGGCTACAAGGGATCCATATTCTGTTGCCATGGCGTTAGGTCAGTCTCGTCATAATTTTATAGTTGCCATCTCTTTAAAGTTTCAATGTTCATCCATATTGTTTCCATTTTCTGATTATTCATTTGCTTAACTGGATTTATAAATAAATTACATGGTTTGGTAAATAAAGTTTTATATGTTTGCATGTCTTTGAAATGGGGCTTGGTATATTGCAGAATATTGGACTGACCTTTCTTTCCCTTTGTGTCGTTTATTTGTTTTGTTTTCTTTTGGTTGCAGCAAAGCATGTAGGCCCAGGAGGTGGGTTTGCTTCTTAACTATTCTTTTAGTTGTCCTATTTCACATATCTATAACTGGAAAATGACATATGCCAATTTGTGGTCCCTGTATCAGGTGCTCTACAGGAGGTTCTTCATCTGCACGATGTACTTGCAAGAATTTGCCTTGCTAGATTGTGTCATACGTTATCTAGAACTCGTACATTAGATGGTAGGCGGGTGGCTTTTTGTATGTTATCATTATGTGCAGTTACACATAAAAATGCATGATATTTTTATGAGTTTTGGAGAGCTGATCTTTACAAGTGCTACCTTGCAGAAAGGCCGGACATTAAAGCTCAGTTCACTGCTATGCTATATCAGCTGCTTCTTGATCCTAGTGAAAGAGTTTGTTTTGAAGCTATAATGTGTGTATTGGGGAAATTTGATAACACAGAGAGGTAAAGTGTTCTTGTTTCTATTATTATGATTATCTGTTTATCCGCGTGGCTTGTAGATTTTGGATCTGACTGTTCTTCAACTTCTTTTATATATGTTTATTAAAGCGTTAAAGTCCATGAACAGTTTGTTTATTCTCTTCTACATATATTTTTATAGAACTGAAGAACGGGCTGCTGGATGGTTTCGGATGACTAGAGAAATTCTGAAGTTGCCAGAGGCTCCATCTGTATCATCTGGTAAAAGTAATGATTCACAAGCTAAGGACTCGGGTGCTCAATCAAAAGATGGCCTCCCTCCCAAAGCCACAAGTGATCGACCGGCTCCAAAGCCAAGACGTCCACAGCCTCTTATCAAACTGGTAATGAGAAGGTGTGTTGAATTTTTTTTTTTTTATTGCATTGCTTGGTTAACTTGCACCTTTCAAAATAGAGAGAAAAACCTTTTTTGTGATTGCTTGCCTCAGGTCCAGTCCCATAAAGTTTTTTTAAACATTTCCACTATTGAATGTTTCAGGCTTAATTATTATTAAATACTTAGTTTGATCTTGCCATTTTTTGGTTCCTCTGGGTCACTCAGGTTGGAGAGTTCCTTCCGAAGTTTCTCTAGGCCAGTGCTTCATGCAGCAGCACGAGTCGTGCAAGAGATGGGAAAAAGTCGGGCTGCTGCATTTGCTTTAGGTGTTGATATCGATGAAGGAAGCCATCTTCAATCATACTATGAAAATGGTGGTGCTGGAACTGATTCAGCTGAGCATGATGACACTTCACACTCTGATGGTATTATATCTTAGAGTTTCGTATTTGGATTTAGCACCCTAATTTGCACTGTGTTTTATTACATCCCCTCACATTTCTTATGTAAGAGTTTAATCCCATATGTACTAGTAGAGTTTTGGAGTTTCATATTTAGATTTAGCACCACAATTTGCACTGGGTATTATTACATCTTCTCACATTTCTTATCTAAGAGTTTAATCCCATCTTTGCTAGTGGAGTTTCTATATCATCACCATCATATGAGCTTATCCAACTATTTGGGTTTGGCTACACAAATCCTGTTCCACCGTTCTACTCTGTCAAGGGCCATATCCTTAGTCAGACCATAAGCCACCATATCTCTTCTTACTACTTCCATCCATATCGCGGGGTTCGGAGGCGGCAGCCCTCGAAGAAAATTCGGATATATCCGTACATGGGATTCGATATATCTGAAACTTGATATATATATCTGTACAAAGGTATTTCGGTAATTTGTACCATCTATCTAAGGCTCGATATATATTGTTGTGATTGGAGGTTCATCTAGGATTAAGGGTTAAGGGAAAAACGAAGATCTCTTTGTAATTAGATAAAAACAGAGATGCATGAGGAAGAGAGCGTATTGTAACCCTATTTTCATTGTCAGTAAAGAAGCTCTAATCTCCCTTGGGCATAGGCACGTTGCCGAACCACGTATATTTTGCGTTGTAGTTGGTTGTCTCTTTCTTTTGTGTTTATTTCTTCTTTTTTGTTTTCGTGGATTGCTTTTCGTTTCTACACTTAAAGCCTGAATGCCACCTTAAATATCCTTGCAAAGGCTCAGTGGATGGAGGCCAATATTTTCCTTTAGAAGAAATCGTCATCTGATAAGTTTGCTTCTCGTTTAACTTGGTGAAGTAAAGCCTATTGGGCTTTACTTCTACATTTACACCTTCTGGTTGCCCTTTTAGAGTCTTCCACTTGAACTAAATCACCCCTCCTAACCAGTGCCATTTCTATAAATACTTGTGATGCTACTTGATTTTGATCTCAATGGCAATTTGGTTTTCTTGATGATTTTGGATATTTGTAAATTTCACCTCATTCAATTATTTTTAGCAGCTGCCCGTGCAAAGGTTTCATTGTCTAATGGAACTGGAGGGAAGGAAACTATTGCAAGTTTACTTGCTTCTTTAATGGAGGTTGTCCGTACAACTGTGGCATGCGAGTGTGTTTATGTCCGTGCGATGGTTATAAAAGCTTTGATTTGGATGCAAAGTCCAAATGAGTCATTTGAAGAACTTGAAGATATCATTGCTTGTGAGCTTTCTGATCCAGCTTGGCCTTCGACATTGTTGAATGATGTCTTACTCACCTTACATGCTCGATTTAAGGTAATCTGTTTTAGTTACAGATATGTCTCTTTTCGAGCACCTGATCTTGTTCTTGCAAGGTAGTTTAGTTAATGCATATAATTTTTCAATTTTTTGATCTTTTCAAGATTATGTGTTTCTCCCATAATATTTTTGTCTTTTAGATGTTATTAAATTGCTACATCTATTGGAGCAATATTCGTCATTTATGGATGATGAAATAATACTATCCCAGAGAGCATCGGTGTGTTAAATATCTAATGCCAACTTTTACCTTAATCCACGAATTAAAGCAACGTCCTTTTAACTGGCCTAGACTGTCCTGTTTTGTTCAGATGATTTTGGTTGAACAGGGAGCCATCCACAGTACATCTAGGTCTCCAGATTTGAAAGGGACAAAACACCTGGTTTGGTTTTGTTGATCCCCGACACCAGTTTTGTAATTACTTCCCAGCAGATTTCGTAAGTGTTAAAAACATTGAAGAAGAATTAAATGACTGTAAAAAGTTACTGATTTGACTTGAGTACTTTCGACTTTACACAGTTAAATCATATTGGCAATATCCAACCTCTGACTGAAATTTCAACTTTTTTAACCGTTTGATGGAATTGCAAAGGAATCTGAAATTCTGAATACATAAAGTCTTTATCCTTGGAGTTGCACTGTTATTGACTAGTGGAGAAAACACATGCCATTCACCTTCTACTTCATTTGGGTTTGTGCAACCTTTCTTAGTGTTGTAGATTTGCCAAAATTAGACATGGGAAGGCTGCTGTATTGGGTCCCTGTTCATCTTGTTGTGTTTTTAAATTTTATCAATATTTCCATTCTTTGGAAGTTTGGGTAAAGTGTCTCTATTTGATGGCATATAGATGCACTGTACTCTTGCAACTCTCATGAGTTCTGGTGAGCATTTATTGATACATGAAATTTTGCATCGGTATCCTGTATTGTATTACAGCATCTCACGCCACTTGTCCATTGCTTCTAACATTTTCTTGTGCTGATTTTGTGATTTTATAGGCAACACCAGATATGGCAGTCACTCTGCTGGAAATTGCGAGGATTTTTGCGACAAAAGCTCCTGGAAAGATTGATTCGGATGTTTTACAATTACTTTGGAAAGTGGGTTTACAATCTTCGTGAGGTTTCTTAGACTCAGTTGCTTGAAAAGTTAGTTGATTCATCCATATTTCTGAAAATACTGCTATCACTTATCATTTCGTATTTATGATGTGTGAGAAATTGTCTGAAGAAGCCTTGCTAAGGAGTGTATTCTTCAATAGTTTTTTTTTGATAAGTTGCATATTTGCTTGATGAGTTATTGTTTCTTCTTGAGAATGTGTGCGTTGTGGTTCAAATTGCATTCTGCTTTGTGCCTTTCCTCCTCTTGCTCCAACAATCCTTTTTGTGCTGATTTTTAATATAGTATTTAGATAAAAAAAAAGAAAAAAAGAAAAAGAAAAACATTGACCATTAATCCTTTAGATATTACTTCTTATTAGCTTCCTTGTCAGCTTGTGAATCTGTTAGTCCACTTTTTAGTGGTGTCTACGCTGTCCCTTTCTTTTGGCTCATGTAAGAAGTTACAAACACCATTATAGAAAAATATATTTATCCAGAAAAACCAAATGCGGATTATGAATGCATGGAGATACTTATCTGCCTGTTCTTTTGTCAAATGTTTGTGTTCAGCTTGTGCACGTGTTGAGCTTTAACTTGTGAATGTAGGAAAGCACATGAATCGGAATCTAAGTACTTTAAGGAAGTCATGTTAAAAAAGAATTTACACAAGCATGCAAAAATTATCGTCTTTCTGTGTGCATGAACAAATCAATGAATTCAAGAGTTCTAAAATTCTGCGCTAGTGGTGGAAGGGAATCATGTATTAAAATGCCTTTAGAAAGTTTGCTTCCTTTCCTAGTGCTATTATTGAGATGATAGTGGCTTTTCTCAATGGTTCCTTTTGTCCAGTTTGACAATGAGCCCTACTTTAACGTTGTTGTATTTCATCTGTAGAGATCCATAAGATTGGTTAGTTTGGCTATTTTTCATCAAGGAAGTTTGATCACCCCATGGACAAAATACTAATATTAATCTATTTACTTAAATTAGACTTTTGTAAAGCAGATTTGGTCTGAGTAGTTATAAATGTTAAATTCTTAATTTAACTGAACAGAACATTTAAACTTGGTGCTACATCAATCACCCTCATCTTTAGAATCTCGTGGGTGACTGATATATTATTCTGTACTACTTGGTCTATCCAGTTACTACATTTGGAGCTTTGAAAGGTGATCTCCGATCAAATTCCTGACTAAGATTTGGGAAGGAGTGGCAAATAACGGAATCACATTCTTGCGGTCTGTATTTTAAAGAATATACACAAGGAAAGATGCTCTGGGCGGGATGTGAGCCATGTTTCGGGAAACCTGTTGCCTATAAACATACCAATTTTTTTTAGTAATGGTTTAAGTTGATGTGAGCATCACCATTTCTTATTCATTAACATGCTAGGCAAAAAGAATATTACCATGCTTTGCTGATTGCCTCAGGATGATTTATTATATGGCTTTGTCTTGTAATATTTCTCCTCCTAGACATCTATTATTTATTCTTCGTTCCCAAATAAACACAAATTGTTCTAGGCCCTTTTGCTGTTCTTTTCGCTTCAGCGAGGACCATGTAGATGCTTGATTGACAACCTTATCTGACATTGATTCACCTAGAAAATATATTAATAAATATATGTGGTGGGTCTTTTATCGATGAATCTATGCAGACATGCCTAGTTGGAGCTGGACCTGGTGGAAAGCACACAGCTTTGGAGGCAGTAACTATCGTTCTCGACTTACCACCACCACAACCAGGGTCCATGGTTGGGCTTCCATCAGTTGATAGGGTTTCTGCATCTGATCCAAAATCAGCTTTGGCACTTCAAAGATTAGTTCAGGCAGCAGTAAGAATAATCTTTATCATTGTTTTTATTTGAGAGATCTTCTTAGATAGACCTTTTTTTTTCCTTTGGGTACAGTCCACAGGAGCAAATGTACAACCAAATTGTATGTTTGGTCCCATGGCAAAAACATGGGAAAATTTTTACGACCTGAAATTCTTCAAACCATCTTTAATTCATCCTGTGATCAAGCTAAAAAATAAAACTCAAAGATAAAGGATTTCAAGTTCTTAAAATTGTGGATCTGATTGTCCATCAAATGGATGGTCCAATTTTTGGAGGAGCAATTAATTTAGAGCATCTTTTGAGCTCGAAATACTTTTTTTTAGGTTATCGCTAAGATAAATAAAGATTATTTGAGAGTTATGAGGTCGAAATGGTGTTTTGGCTGCGGGACCACCAAGTAGTTTTTTCCTTCTCTCTGTTTTTTTTCACTTATGATGGTAGATTGAAACCTCTGTATCAGATTATTTCTTCTTTTCTATATGAGACATCATAATTTATAATATAACTTTTAGGTGTGGTTTCTTGGAGAAAATGCGAACTACGCTGCATCTGAGTATGCCTGGGAATCAGCAACGCCTCCTGGTACAGCACTTATGATGTTGGATGCAGATAAGATGGTTGCTGCTGCCAGTTCTCGCAATCCAACTCTTGCAGGCGCCTTAACCCGCCTTCAAAGATGTGCTCTTAGTGGAAGTTGGGAGGTACATCGATCTCGCCAACTGCATTTTCCATGATCTTTTGTTGTGATGGTTATTTTCCACGGGCCCATACCACTTATTTTTGCATTTATGCTTACCTCCAATATGCTATTAGTATGTTGCCAGGATCCTTACTTTCTTTTCTTGGATTAAAAGTATCTTCCTTTTAGAGAAATGAGAGAGACATCTAATAAATGGGTATGTTCTGGTCTCCTGTGTCCTTCAAAGTTGCTCTGTCCCACACTGGTCAAAATCTTCCATTCTAGGACGTGCCTTGGATCTTGCAAGGGTACTGTATATCTGACCAGACTGTTCCAACCTAATTTGCTATACTATTTGAGTGTCAAATAGTTAAATTCTACAATCATTGAAAGGAAGAATTTTTTTGTGATAAAATAGATCTCTTTGCAATTTACATCCTGTTCTACAAACTGTTAATTTTGTCTTTGATTTATGAATACATTAAAGCAGGACTATCAATTTAAAAGAGAGAGAAAACAAGGAATATGATATGGTAGATACTTTATAGTACATTTCAAAAAAGAAGTGGATCCTTGATAGTAACTAACAACACCCTTTTTCTTGGATTATGAACTATTTCATTCATAAGTTGCTCTTTTAATTCTTTCCTGAATATGAAGTATGAAGTTTAGGTGAAGGAATTGGAGAAGGGGGTGACTCTGGCATTATAATTACAATGTGATCAGCTGGTGCTTGGATGTGATTTTCTCTTGTTGCTCAAATGTATTAAGCAGCGTTTTAGAAAAGCAGTATTGGTGGGTGGATTGCCCACCCATCGATCCCCTGTCATATCACCGGTTTGCCGAACCAGCAAAACTAAAAAAGAAAAAACAGAAAAAAAGGGGATATACACTTTATCACACATAAGCTAAAGAGTTAAAGGCGGATAGCCCTTGCAGTTCTTTACCTTGAGGTTCCAAGTTTGATTCCTTCTCCTTTAATTTCAACTTTAAAATTTCAAGTTTTGAAATAGAATTATATAGATATAAAAATTTAAGCAAAAGAAAATGCCACAGCAGGGACTTGAACATGCGACCTTATGGTCAAGTGTCATTTGATGCTAACCAACAAATCCCGGCTTATTTTCTGGTATAAATGTATGCAATACATTGTATAACAACAGCGATTCAGCCCAAGAACCGAATCAGTCTTGGGCAACTCCCTATCTGGATTTGCTATTTCTGATCTTGATCGATATTTCTTTGATCACTGGTGTTGAGGATTGCGTCTTCTCCTTCCAAATTTGTTCTCTGGTTCATTTGTTCTCCTGGGGTATTAATCACTTCTACAAAGTGGGCAATACAGTGGTGGATGAACTTGCTTGAGGAGGAGTTTCTTTGGCAGCGGCAACCATGTGGAGGCTAACCCCCAGATTTCTTATGTTATTTTCTTTTGCATGATGTATCGTACTGCAGTATTCAAAGGATTAGATCTTGTAATTTACTATTGATTTTGCATTTCAGTGAAAACAGATAGGGGACCTATATCCCCGCTGATTTACCAAAAAAGGAAACAAAATACATCCTACTTGGGTAAATAATAATATATATATTTTCATTTATACTGTCTAATAAGTTTATGAAAAGTTGTATTTTTCATTTAACAGTTGTATTTTTTTAATCACAAAAAACTGCTGCCCCATGTCTTTGTTCTGTCTGCATCTGTCTGTTTTTTTGGTAATGTATGTGATACATGATCACCTTATTGTTTGCGGTACTGAGAACTAATATGATAACTGCATGATCTGTTCAGGTCCGCATAGTTGCTGCTCTGAGAACTAATATGATAACCGTATGATCTGTTCAGGTCCGCATAGTTGCTGCTCAAGCTCTCACAACTATTGCGATTAGGTCTGGTGAGCCTTTTAGGCTGCAAATATATGAATTTTTACATGCTTTAGCACAAGGTGGAGTGCAAGCTCAATTTTCAGATATGCAAATCAGTAATGGTGAAGATCAAGGTGCTAGTGGCACCGGTCTTGGGTCTTTAATAAGCCCTATGTTGAAGGTTCTTGATGAAATGTACACTGCACAGGATGATTTAATTAGGTAAGAGGCAACCATTCTTTCTGATATGAGGTCTGGCTTTATGGTGTTTTGACTTTGATTTAGGAACTAATGACATGTGGAAAGCAGAGAAATGCGCAATCATGATAACAACAAACAGGAATGGACAGATGATGAGCTCAAGAAACTATACGAGACCCACGAACGGCTTCTTGATCAAGTGTCCTTGTTCTGCTATGTTCCACGATCAAAATATCTACCTCTAGGGCCAACAAGGTATCTTTTCATTGAAAGACAACATAACCTTGAAGTGGTCTGTGATAACAATCTAACTATATCAATTGCTCATGATATATAAGATTAATTACAGCCTCTTTACTGGTGTGAGGATTTTAAATTTCTGTGGGTGTGAATTATAGATCTTTGATATACATGTGGAATATTGGTCTCCAACTTAACTATGAGCTTTGCTCTACTATAACATTTAAGAATCAATAAAGATGAATGATTGTGACAAAGAATTTGATATTGCAGTTGGTTCTTTCATCTGAGCATTTTCTTTTGTCTTGACAGTGCAAAACTTATTGATATCTATCGCAAGCGACACAACATCGATGCATCTGCTGGATTGAAGGATCCTGCTGTTGCTACAGGGATTTCTGACCTTGTTTATGAGTCTAAAGTGCAACAGGAACAACATAATTCTGATTCTCCTGATCTTACAAATGCCTGGGCAACAAATCTTGATGATGGTTTGTGGGGGACTAGTGCACCTGCAATGATTCGGGTATCTATATTCTCCTGTATATCTTAAGAAAAAAGTAGTGTCTCCTTTATATTGATTTCTAGTGATATCAGTACTGTGAGATTGTTTCTAGCATTTGAACCAAGGTGATTAGGTTGTCAATCAATTCTATTGCTGACTTAAACAATTTAAGCTACGTAATTGTTTAAAATATCAAAATGAGCCAAGTCTGGAACACCTGCATATTTTCAGAGGCTGAATTTCAAGTGCGGGATTCTCCCCCTTTAATTTTTGCAGGAATTTTGGATGTTATAGTGGTTTTTGATGTTCTGCAGGTAAATGAGTTTCTTGCTGGTGCTGGCACTGATGCCCCTGAAGTAGATGATGAAATTATACCCTCCAGACCGTCAGTTGGTTATGATGATATGTGGGCTAAGACGATTTTAGAAACTTCAGAAGTAGAGGTATTGATTGCCATTAATGTGTATTTGGTATTGCAATTTACCTATGAACGAACAACTATTTCATTTGTGTGCTGAGGAAGACGAATATGGCTTAATCTGCAACTACTTCATAGTCTTTACACTCTTTTCCATTAATATAACTGTCCCCTTTTGAAAGAAGCGAAGGAAAAAATATCAGAAAAGTTTCCTCCTGAATTTCTAACAAACTGTTAGCTTGGCAGGAAGATGATGCAGCATCATCAGGGGCATCTTCTCCTGAATCAGCTGCCTCTATTGAATCTTCAATATCATCCCACTTTGGTGGAATGCAGTACCCATCATTGTTCAGTTCTCGTCCAACTTCCTATGGTGGCACACGGCAATTGGTATTAAATTCACCTTTTGATAACTATTATGCATATCTTTTGTGCATGAATTCATGTATGTATCAACATGCTGATGAAGTCACTATTCCACAAAAAAAACAAAAAAAAAACAGGATGACAGGTCAGGAGCGCCTAGCAGATTAAGCAATACTTCAGGTGGCAATTATTCTTCAACTTTTGAAGGGATGGGATCTCCGGTGAGCTCATCATTCTTATGATTTTCTTTCGGGAAGTTTGGAAACTGAAATTTTTTCTAAGCAGATTTAGCCTGAGCAGGTGAGAGAAGAGCCTCCATCGTATGCTTCATCTACAAAAAAGAGGTTTGAGTCATTTGGAAATCCATCATCTGAGTATGGCCTTCGGAGTTTTGGCTCACAGGAGGAGGAAGAGCCTGCCTCTGAAAATCCACAATTTGGAACAGCACTTTATGATTTCACTGCAGGTGGCGATGATGAGGTAAAATTATAGGGGCCTTTTCTTTCATTGTTTATGACTAGTTTTAGGCTTGCAGATTATTTCCACTTGATTTAGTTACTTGGAAGCGAAAAATACAATACTGGCTTTTGAGGGAATGAAATAGGATCAATGTGTTGTATTTCTAGAAGTTTCATTTTTCTGTTAAAGATAGTATTATTATTATTATTTTTTGAATCATTCAATGCAGGCTAATCCATTCACTATTGAAATGCTTTTTGCAGTTGAACTTGACAGCTGGTGACGAAGTTGAAATTGATTATGAGGTTGATGGTTGGTTCTATGTAAGTATATGTGTCTGAAATTCCTTCCTAAAGGCAAATTCCAACTATTTTCTTGTTTCGCCACCCCCCCCCCCTTTTTTTCTCCTCTTTTCTGATGAAGTCAGCAGTTTGCAGTTTTGAGTAATTGGCCTTTCAATTTTTCAGTCATTGGGCTTTCAGATTTTTATGTTTGTATGTATCTTTATTGCAGGTCAGGAAAAAGAAGCCAGGAAGAGATGGTAAAATGGCCGGGCTGGTGCCTGTACTCTATGTGAGCTCTTCATGAGACAAATGATTTGTCCTTGGCATCCGAAATATTTTGGTCTCTCTCTCTCTCT